TGGCTATGTCCTGCCCTCTCCAGCGTCATCATGAACTCCTAACAAACGGCTGCACGTCTATTTGTTGCAGGTGGAGGGGAAGTCAAGTCGAGTGAGGGAACCACTCAGTGCGACCCCCTCTCTATGGCCTTTTACGCAGTTGCCACCATACCGATCATCACTCGTCTCCAGGAGCAGCACACATCAATCCGGCCGAGCTGGTATGCGGATGATTCCAGTGGAGCAGGTAGGCTGAGACAGATCCGGTTGTGGTGGGACGAGCTGCAGGCAATTGGACGGCGATACGGATACTTCACGAACTCCGAAAAGACCCAGCTCCTTGTCAAGCCACAGCTGGAGCAGGAAGCACCCCAAGTGTTTGCCGAAACAGGGATCCGGATTGTCACGGGGAGCTTGCGTTATCTCGGCTCCGAGATTGGATCGGAAGAGGCGGTCGCGGAAAGTGTGCAGCAACGGGTGGCGAAGTGGAAGGAAGAGCTGAAGAAGCTTACAGAGATTGCAAAAACGGAGCCACATGCTGCCTATGCTGCAATATCTCATGGTTTACGTGGTAGGTGGACCTACCTATTGCGTACAGTACCTTTCCCTCCACAATGCCTTACCGACCTCGACAAGGTGATCACAGAGTAGCTTCTACCTGCTCTAGCGGGCTGTGATTCCTTCCTACCAGAAGAATTGAGCCTTCTCCGCCTGCCTTGTCGACTGGGGGGGGGGGGGGGGGATGGCCCTGCCGTGTTTTCAGCAAATGGGTACGGCAGAGCTCCCTGCGTCGAGAGCTGTAACGGCCCTTCAAGTGGAGGAGATTGTACACCAGAATGATGTTCAATACACCCATAACTCCACGGAGGATGTTCGCCAGGCAGCCCTAAGCGAGAAGACACGGCTAGCGCATGACCATCGTCAGAGGGAGCAGAATGATTTCGTCACAATCAAGAGCAGTGCGTCCCCTGCCCTGTCTCGTCGGCTGGAGAGTTTATCCACGAAAGGCGTGTCGAGTTGGCTCGGGGTATTGCCTCTGGCAGACCATAGTCACCATCTGTCCAAGGGAGACTTCCGCGACGCTCTAGCTCTCCGCTATGGTTGGTCTCTCTTGGACACACCAGCGAGCTGTGTGTGTGGGGAGCCCTTCGACGCCATGCATGCGATGATTTGTCCCCGCGGAGGTTTCCCGACAATTCGCCACAATGAAGTAAGATATATCGTGGCGGATCTTCTGACGGAGGTATGCTCAGATGTGGCAGTCGAGCCTGTACTTGCTCCGATCACAGACGAGGTTTTTTATCGGCATCAACAAACACCGCGAACGACGCCCGCGCTGATGTCCGAGCTCGTGGGTTCTGGACCCGGGCTCAGAATGCGTTCTTCGATGTCCGGGTCTTCCACCCGGATGCAGCATCATACAAGAGCAAGCCCGTCAGTGATCTTCTGAAGCAACATGAGCGCCGCAAGAAGAGTGAGTATGCCGATTGTATCAACAATGTCGACCGTGGTTCATTTACCCCTCTAGTCTTTACCACAGCGGGTTGTTGTCCTCCGGAGTGTACTTCATTCATTAAGCGGTTGTGTGCATTGCTGGCAACTGCCGATCGACCGTATGCCCAGCTAATGGCCTATGTGCGGTGTAGCTTGTCCTTCACTTTGCTCAGGGCAGCCATAATGTGCATCCGCGGTGCACGTTCGGCCTACCATCGCCCAGTTAATGTGATGAGGGAGTTGGCCATTGTGGAGAGCGGCTTCTAAGCATGTGATTGAGTGATCTCTGCATGTTGATCGGGTAGCGGAGTTCCATCACTGACACAGTGTACGGGTATTGCATTATGAATTGGTTGAGTAGATAGTTCCGAAATTAATTCCGTGAATAGGATGAAGGCCGCAGACATCACACAACTACGTTATTTGTTTGACATGTATTACTGTGTATTTTATAACAAAAAAAATATTGAAAACCCAGAATCGATTTTCTCGTTCCTATCATCAGTGGGAAAAACGGAACTAAGGATACAACCAAAGAAACTGAAGTTAAGTACTGTAAATAGAAAGGTGTAATACAGAAAGGTGTAATACAGTAATGTAACATGTTGCACATGTTCCGTTTGGCGTAGTAATATTTCCACTCTTAATTATAGCTATGAATGTGACTCTACTTCATGACATGTATGCATACGTCATTCGTACACACTCACAGACACACACGCATGCGTATCCTTTCGTTGGCTCGCTCTGTTATGATGCTGGTTTTTCCTTTTGCTTCGAGAGAATGTTTTGGACTTGAGAGTTGCAGTTTTGATCTCAACGTCTTGTCATGGTTGGAACTGGTGCCTGGCTGGGGGCTGGGGAGTTTATGCTCCTGTGAATGTAATTGTAACCTCAGGCCAAGGTTACAGTAATACGTGTCAAACAAGTAACGTAGTTGTGTGATGTCTGCGGCCTTCATCCTATTCATAGCTATATTAAAAGTATTATCTCCACGTAGGTAATTAATTCCGTGTTCGATATTGTTTATTTTTTACATATCTTTATTTTATTTTATTCGTGTTCGATATTGAATTTTTATTTATTTATTTTTTACAAAATATTGTTTTTATTCCATTTCTCATTTTTCATTCGTGTTGTGTTTAACTACTCACTGTACTGATACATGGTGATGATTGTGCTTTGCTTTGCCCGTAAAAGAGGAATCCCCTAGATAATGATACGCTATGGCGACGTCTGCTCAGAGTATCCTGGATGGAGAAGCGCACTAGTAAAATTATGGTATATACACAGAAGCCTTGCTTGGTAGTTTAGCATGTTTTTCGATTTTGACAGTATGTTACAAGGCAAGGACGCGTAGTGCTCCTGGACTCTGCCAACCGGGTTATGGTTGTAGTCAGGAGCACTACGCGTCCTCGCCTTGTAACATGCTGTCAAAATCGAAAAACATAGTGAAAGTATCCACGGATCCTTTCTTACCATACTCCAAATCTAACAGCTCCGGGTAACAATGCATTGCGATTTGGTGTAAGGGACTCCGTTTTGCTTCATTTAGTGTGCGCATGCCGGAAGCGGAGCCTGTTTCGTACAGGAAGCCCGTTTCCACTTACACTTGCGCACGGGAAGCTTTTTCACGAAGCACAGATCCTTTAGCACACTCCAAATCCAACATCTCCTGGTAACAATGCAACGCGAGACGCGAGCATGCGAGGTGGAAAGCCGTCAGCAACAGTTTCCGTTTTACTTCATTTGTTGGAAGGGACCACGTTCTACTTGTATTATTTTCATTTCGCCTGCGCTTGCCGGAGGCGGAGCCTGTTTTATACTTCTTTACACGTGTACAGCACGGGAACTATGCATTGCGAGCATGCATTTGGTGTAATGGACCTCGTTTTGCTTCATTTCGCTTGCACACGCCGGAAGCGGAGCCAGTTTAGTGCAGGAATCCCCTTTTCACTTACATTTGCAAACGGGAAGCCCCTTTTGAAGTGTTTGTGCTTCGTTTCGCGCATGGTGAGCGTTTTGACGGAGCACGGATCCTTATTTGCCACACTCCAAATCTAAGAGCTCCGGGTAACAATGCATTGCGAGCATGCGAGGTGGAAAGCCGTCAGCAAGAGTGTCCGTAATACCTCAAATTTTGGTGTAAGGGGCCGGTCACACTGAGGGAAAATTTAGAAAAAATCCGTGGTTACCATGGATAGTTGCCGCTGAGCGAGAAATTTGAGAGATTTAATCCACTCGATGAGAATCAGCTCGAGGCCCCACTTTTCCGCCGAAGATTATTATAATCATCCACGGCTTCCACTGGATTAATTTGAGTTGCCTTGTTTTTTATTGCGTTCTGAAACGGAGCGATGCTCTAGAGGCTGTGCTGATGCACCTCTGGCCCAGAAGCGGGGTTGACAGACAGCCAGAAGCGAATGGTGACAAAAAAAGAAGCTCGTGTGGGTGAGATTATCTTCATTGTGCGTATCATGTAGCTCTCTCCTAAAAGAAATTTTCCATACCCGCTCCCCCAGTGCACATACTACTGCCGTCACTAGGTCCCAAATCTCTTTTTCTCTGGCCTTGCCTTCTGCCCACACTAAAGCTGGTTTTTTTCTCGTCTTGGCTACATAGGTTCTGATCGCTGGAATATGCTGCCTTCCACTGTTCGCTCTTGTACAGATTATCGCCCATTTGTTCGTTCATGCTTAACCTTTCTAGGGGCTCCCGTAAGAAGACCATAGGTCTGTGGGAAACACCCTAGTAAAATATATAAAATAATAATAATAATAATCCAGTGTGGCCGTGATGAAAAGAAGAAAAAAATATTCACGGTTTATAATCTGAGGATTGTTCCCTGAATGTGACCGGCCCCTGTAGCACCTACTCCACTTTTATGTTTATATATCTATGTCCGTCGGATTTTCCCAAGTTGTACATTGTACTGTTGAGATACCGAATTCAAATAAATCAATACCATACCATATACGAAAGGACCCCGTTTTACTTCATTTCGCGTGCGCTTGTCGGAAGCGGAGCCTGTTTTATACTTCTTCACAAGTATACAGTACGGGAACAATGCATTGCATGCATTATTTGTGAGGGACCCCGTTTTGCATCATTTCGCGTGCGCATGCCGGAAGCGGAGCCTGTTTAGTACAGGAAGCCCGTTTTCACTTACATTTGCGCACGGGAAGCCCCTTTCGAAGTTTTTGTGGTTCATTTCGTTCATGGTAAACTGTTTCAAGGAGCCCGGATCGTTTAGCACACTCCAAATCTACTCCATTTCGCGTGCGCTAGCCGGAAGCGGAACCTGTTTGATACTTCTTTACATTTATACAGTACGGGAAGCCCGTTTTCACTTACATTTGCGCACAAGAAGTCCCTTTTATAGCTGCTGTGCTTCGTTTCGCGCATGTCAAGTTTTTGCACCTTGCGACTGTGGCCACACATAGGCATCCTGATACGCCGCCAGTTTGCGAGGCGAAGTATAAGTAGGGCTGACTTGCAGGAAACTGATATGATCATACCGAGTTCTGTTGCCTTCGAAGCTTCTCGAGCTCCTTTTCTCTAGTGAAGGTAGAAAGCCTGCTGTAGAAGAGACTGATAAAGCTGTTCTTGTCAACGCGCCAAGATGAGGACTCTAGCCATACTGGTAGGTGATGATAGATTGCACTCGACAATGTTGGTCCACCGTTGTTTGTTTTGCGAAACCGAAAACCGATATCGGTAATATTGAAAAATCTCGTCACTATGATAGTGCAAGTAGTGTCTGTTCGCTGTAAACTTTATACAATTCCATTCTACAGCATTGGGTACAATTCCATTCCAAATTATAGCCAGGAGCCATCCTGTGGATTAAAGGATTTTAGTACTGTTGCGATGTGTCTGCTTACCATTTTATCACTCAGTCAGTTTACTGGCGGCATAGCCCCCCCCCCCTCTCTTAAACCAGCGATGTTATATATAGGGCATCCTCCCAAGCAAGGCTGTACCGACAATGCCTAGCTTCAGCGAGAAATTCGCCCCACCTGCAGTAGTTCCACAGGACGCCTTAGTGACGGAGTCTTGGGAGAACGTCGGCGGGGTTTGGTTGGATGGTAGTGATTGCAAATTTAATGAATAAGAGGAAAGAGCAATTCTACGAATTATGACGTTAAACTGATCACAGAAGAAGGATAGAGTTCACATACTATTGTGCAACAAAGGCACCGGCCAGCACTGATACATTGCGGTTCTAATAACTGCTATTTCTTCATTCAGATCTGTTTAATACTCTTTGTCTCACGCTATTTAGGTTATTTCCTCTTGTAGTTTGTCATTTTGCTTTGTCTTTACTCTCTGCCATGGCTGGCTATCGGAAAACAATGGAGTTACATCCGCCCAGCCATTTAGTCTAGTACTGCTAGCCCTTCTTAAACTTGACCTTTATTATAAGACTCTCTTTTGCTTTATAATACAAAGAGAAAGACCAAGGAACTACAAGTTACGCTGTACTGTCCCCTTACACCACGCGTTCGCTTTTTCACGATTCTTGTTCGCATAGCTTCCCCTATTATTGATCTTCGGATCTTTTGAGCCAGACAAGTTGTGTGGAGTGTGGCTTTGCGTTCCTGAATCGTGGTTTGACCGTCTTGTCCAATGGTCTTGCAAGTATCGTCATCGACATGCATGAACATCCGCCAACGTCCTTCACAGCTGAGACTTTCAGCTCGTGCTTATCTTGGTTGCGCTCACCTTCCCCTCCTGATGTTATTTCTATAACTTAGAACCTTCCAAGTTGGAAGGCTGTTGGAGTGCGCATCCAAGATGTGCTAGACCTGTTAGCCAATTAGTTGTAGAACGTCAGTACCGTCGGTCAGTGTCGTGCAATGCTATCGCATGAGCTGATTGCTTTGTAACTGGTGGTGGTAGTGGACAGTATAGCGTAACTTGTAGTTCCTTGGTCTTTCTCTTTGTATAAATTAAACATTGACTCTCCATCTGATGAGCCGTTTTTTTCTTTTTCATTTCGTTTTTCTCACTCCCACACACACATGCTCACAGTCAATTCTGCCTACGTGAGTCCCATTCAGGATGGATACGAGAAAAAATTAATAATATTTTCTTAACGAACCTCGGATGTTGAGCCAATAATAAACGTAGGAAGGAAAAGGAAATATAGATACGAGTTGAGAATAACTCTCCATCACTGTAACCAGATACTATATACAGTCAAAACGTGCAACAACTAGGCACAAAACTGACAGAAAAAAATCTTTAAAAAAAACTGAGACAGTCGACGTCCCGACACCTAGCTTCAACACATCTCCGTAGCACTAACCGACAGCCTTCCAACTTGTCAAATATCCTACTGGTCTCGTCATAGTCCAGTAACAATCGACATTCTTTGTTCCGCTGGGACTGTACCTTGTGCTCATTTTCGTTGCGCTTGCCTTCCCCTCTTTGGTCTTTCCATAACCTTGAACCTTCACAAGTTGGAAGGGTGTCGGTTAGCGCTACGGAGATGTGCTGAAGCTAGGTGTCAGGACGTCGAATGTCTCAGTACTCTGTCAGTTTTGTGCCTAGTTGTTGAACTTTCTGACTGTATACTATTATATTATCTGGTTACACTAATTGAGAGTTACTCTCAACTCGTATCTATATTTCCTTTTCCTTTCTACATTTTTAACCCATTGAACGCTGATGACGTCTATAGACGTCATTGAAAATGCCCCCCATGCGCGGGATGACGTCTATAGACGTCATGGTTTATAGTAATTTCCGTCACTATCAGTTGTGTAAAAGCACTGTTAGTCAGTTGGATCATGATCCTGGCTCTTGTACGATAGGTACGAATCCCGCTTGGTAACACTATGCGTCTTTTTTTCTTCTCTTTTCAGCGATCTTTCAGCTGCAATTGCACACATTTAGCGTATTTCACGCAATTTGAGTAAACTTGCGTCCCCTATTGTGAAGCGCTATTCTTTTCGGGGAATGTATCGATTCTGTCACCCAGTGGTTGATAGTCTTGGCAATCATTTCCACAATATTTGAGGACCCAGTTGCCAGAACCCTGGAGTTTCAGAACTTTCTATTTGCCTTGTTTTTAGCATTATATATGCAGAGTACCATAGGCAAGGCCCAGTAGCGCTGAATGGGTTAGCGAAGGTATGTATTAGGTCGCAAGTATCCACAAAAAAACACATCCAGTCAAAGAGGGCTCTTATCAAAAAATGTCCGAACGTTTTCGGTCGCTTCTCATTAAAGATCGTACGGGTATACCTCAAGTTGGAAAGACTAAAACTTAGATAGCGTACAGGTAATGAGATAACAACACTCGTGACAAGGTGGAAAATTGTCAAGTTCAGAACGACACAAAGTTCGAAGGAAAATAAAAAATCTTCCCTGTACCATCCTTGATGAGAAGGGACCGATAACGTTCGGATTTTTTTACAAGTGCCTTATTTGACTGGATGTGTGTTTGCGTGGATACTTGCGACCTACTACTTACCTTCGTTATTTTTGTATTATCTGCCTCCGACCTCTTAAAAAAAATCTTGGATGGAGAGCCGAGGATAATTTATAAAAAGTAAAAAGGACCAAGTAGGTGCTAGAGCTGTTAGCTTGTTAGTTGTAGAACGTCAGTACCGTCGGTCAAAGTCGTGCAATGTTATCCCATGAGCTGATTGTTTAGTAACTGGTGGTGTTAGTGGACATTATGGTGTAACTTGTAGTTTCTTGGTCCTTTTTTACTTACAAGTTTTTATAAATAATAATCTTCACAAGTTTGATGGAAAGACACAAACGGGAAAAGTCTGAATAAAAAATAGACTGTCACCACCAGGACTCGAACCAGGGACCTTTACTTGTAGCTAACGATGCTCTAACCACTGAGCTATGGTGTAGTCATCATCCCAGCAGAGACCATTCAACATTTTCTTCAGACACCGGAACTCACACTTATTGTGGATCCACACAGGTAATACTAATAATGATAATGTTGAGTCACCTCCACCATTAAACTGCGCTCTTTAGCCAACTAGACCCTCCTGAGCCATCACCATTGCGAGGACACTTCCGTAGACGATATTGATAAACTCCTTCAGACAGCTGTTTCGCGAATACACAGCTCATCCGTGAAGGTAGATGTTAAATGATTGAAAATATAGATCAAATATAGACCAAACGGCTATTATATAGGAGGTTTCCACATACAAAACTGGCAAAGCTGCGGTCATAAGGCGAAGAAAAGTGTGAAGTACTGATGACCCGCATGGGACATGCATGCAGCGTCGGAAATTCGGCGCGAAAAAACAATCACTATTCAATGCAGAAATAACGTGCCAGAATCAGAGTACTATGTAGCTAGTGAGAGTCTGTGTACTAGTATTGCAGTTGTCCGAGCGCCATGAAAGTCTGTGAAAGCACCTCACGACCCGCCGACGTCGACAGCCACAGCAACCCCCTAGGGCATTACACTTTACTGCTCGCCCGTCGCGCCAAGACGCTTGGCAGTCACTAGGCTTCATGCCACCGATGTTGTCCACAAGCTACCTTGTTATCTGCCCATCACCCACTGCCACCGACACGCTGGGAGGCCCCGCGGCATTTGCCCAGTATATCGTCGTCAGAGCTGTGTCAACGGTACAATAACGCTGGTAGAAACAAACAGTTGGTCGTATGGTATTGCGTCCTCCGGATTGTCCCTTGACTCGTCTTGTCCCTCTTCTTGCTCTGACGCTAACGGCGCACGTATCATATTACTACAGGGTGCGACAGAGCTCCCATCTACGGAAGTGTCCTCGCAATGGTGATGGTTCAGGAGGGTCTAGTCGGCTAAAGAGCGCAGCTTAATGGTGGAGGTGACTCAACATTTTCTTCAATGGCCACTGCACCTAAACGCCTGGACATTGCCTCACATTCTACTAAGTCATATGAATAGCTGTGTTAGTGCTATGTTCTCTGCTGCGTGTGCAGTTCCTACTCGTTCTCGTACACTGTATTTGATTTTTTTCATTTAGTTGTTGAGATAAACCTGGCTAGACCACTGTTTTATCTCAGAAGGGGCGTGATGTGATATGATGCTCATGTCTTATCACGTGACCATTACGTCATATATCTAGCCTGTGTATTACGTCACAACCAGCATGCGCCATCTTGGACTAGTCTTGGACTTGCCTTCGCAATCTGAGAATTTGAGCAATCCGCAGTTGGCGCATGCATGCTTTTCGCATTCTGGGAACGCTCAAATACTTGGTGCACGAGGAGCTTCTGCTAGACTTCTGGGAGCACACCCAAGTCTGTGTGGTGCACATTCCAGCGCAGCGAATTCATATGGGGCGCAGTCTGTGTGTGCAATCTGTACTTGGTAGTGATGAAACAATAGTCAAAACCTAGTAGCCGAATATTCTTTGGCTTAACGAACGAATGAACGAGTATTCTTTTGGTAACACCGATGACATCACATGACCTCCTCTCAGTCATTTTATCTGGGAATTCTCAGATTGGGCGGAACGTACACATGCAAGCGATGTGATGCAGTCATGTGTGCACTACTGTACTACAATGATATGCAATCGGATACTGGGACAACAGGGCACACAACTGACAGGGAAACTCAAAGGCGAGATTCGAGATTCAACGATAGGACGAGATTCAACAGCCTACTGCTTA